TCCTGACCTTTTCTCATCAACACACCACACACAGTATGGATCCTGAGCAGACCAGCATGCCTTCTTATCTGTGTGTGTGTTGCACTCTGACACTGGTACACGGTTAACCTGCAACCAAACACAAAGGTTTAGTAGTTAAACACTGTAGTTACAGGTGACATGAAGATAAGGACAAAGTATCCAAATACCTGGTTTTTAACAGAAACATAAACATGTTCGTGATCCACTGGATCCAGGTAGATTTGGGGTAACAGCTTTACGTCCCCACTGGCCCTGTAGAGCACCTTTGGACAGGTGGGGCGGAGGTTCCTGTCCACAGAGAGCTGACAACAGGTTGTTATTGTGAATACATCTAGAGCAGGGGTGTCAAACTCATTTTAGCTCAGGGGCCACATTGAGGGAAATCTGGTCCCAAGTTGGCCGGACCGGTAAATTAAAAACAGCTTCAGATTGTTTTCTTTGTTTTAATACAATCAATATAAAACAAGGCTGGAGCCTGAGGACAGTGTATCCAAAATAGTACAAGTACAACACCTGAAGTGTACTTGAAATTTTGAAAAAATTAAAAAAATCAATCAATAAAAAAAACATTCCTTAGTGATTCAAAGAGCTTTCAGATTACATGGCTAGATCAGTTTCATGCAGCACTTAAAATATATTTGACTCATTTTACTTAACATCTTTTAGCTTTCACCAGCACATCAATATCAGAAGTCACATCCTGAGTGGCGGCCAACTTCAGGATGTGATTCACGTTCTTGTGTGAGCCTTGAGCACAGCTTTGTTTTATTTATACTCATTACAGAGAAAACTTGCTCATAAAGATAAGTTTATTTTCACTCTACATTGTAAAGTATGAAAACAAAGTTCACACAACCATCTCGCGGGCCGGATTTAACCCGCTTGCGGGCCGGATCCGGCCCGCGGGCCACATCTTTGACACCCCCGATCTAGAGGCTCAGTGTTGGTGCACATTTAAATGTTTAATTAGACAAAAGAAAAATGACTTTACTGCTTTCAAAGTCTTTTATTTGTTTCTTGTTACAAAAGCTTCAGTTTTTACACGTCCTCAATTAAATCCATCAGTCCATTTGTATTTATTAAAGGTGTGACGGTTTTATAGAAGCAACACAATCGGTGCTGATGGCATCTACTCACCTCAGCCTGTTTACTCACTACTCATTATGGGATGTTCAGCAGAGCCCTGCTTCTTTCCTCTGACAATAATGAGCTTACACACCAGAAACAAATGAAAAACACCACAAAAGCTTTTTGAAAGGATTTTGTCACTTCCCCTGTTTTGCCAGTCGTGATCAGGAAATGTGCTAGATGTGACGCAACAATGTTTGTGAAGCTCAGAGAACACAGCCACCTCTCCGGTCCCCGGTGTGTGACACTTGTAACGTCTCTACTCACCCTGAGGAGCTGTCCATCTGATGTCCCAATGAAGAAAACCATCCAGCCCATCTTCCTCTCTGCCAACACAGAAGTCATGTAGTCCTTCTTGAAAAGCACAGCCTTTGGTTTCAGGATCTTTGGTTCTGACTGAGAAACCTGACAATTATGAGTAGATCTGGCATCAGACAACAGTCGCTGAATAATTTATTACTACCTTAATTATTTAAAATAGTCTTAATCAACACACAGGTCAACGTTTACTAACGGAGTGTTTTAGCTAAAGCTAACGTGTGCCATTTTAATGCAGGTCATGTGGCTGGACATTCGAAGAATGATCAGCTAACAGTTTTTAAAAAAATCACTGCATGCTTTTAGTGTTTATGTATCTTTTTAAATTCAATAACCATCCAGAAGGGACCAGCCACAGACACACATCAGCCACACCCTCACTCTGTAGGAGGAAACCAGATATCTGGAGAAAATCACATCCATGGGGGGAACATTTCAGAAAGGCAGGTGGGATTCGAACTGGAGACCTTCTTCCTGCAAAGCAGCTACCAAATTAACTAGACCTTCAAATTGTAGTTGGCTGAAATGTGATAATGTTCCTACATATTTATTCTTTATTTTAAAAGGCAAACACGATCAAATTAAATGACTTGAGCTCTAGATGGATTTGAGAAAGTATAAAGTTATTGTATTTTATTGCATCAGTTACTCCCAGTGTTGGGAACGTTACTTTAAAAAAGTAATTAGTTATAGTTACTGATTACTTTGTCAAAAAAGTAACTCAGTTACTAACTGAGTTACAAGATCATAAAAGTAACTAATTACCAACAAAAGTAACTACTTAGTTACTTTTTTCATTAAAGAATGCAAGAATTACTACAATAGTAAAATATTAATGACTAATGACTGAACATAATAAAATGTATGTCCAAATGTTTTATATAAACCTGAATAATTTAAACAAATACGCACTTAACAGGAGGAACTACTAATAGGAACATTACACTAATCTAGACTAATAAAAGGTCACTGTGTGATATTTAACAAAAAACCAATCAGCTAAAATTTAAAATTGCAAATAGAAACACCTGTAAAGGTTCCCGAGCCTTTAAATCTCAGTCTAGTTAAATTACAGAAATAAATGTAATTTTGCACAGTATTCTAATTTTTCCAGCTTCACATAATTGTGTGTTTTTACTAGCATTTCTGTTGCTGGTAATCTAGTAACGGTTAAATAAATAAATAAATATCCTTTAAAATGACACTAGAAGAGGCACAAGCCTGATGGAGGACTTACATTTACTAACTTGGGTCAGACCCAACCACAGAAGAGCTGAAGCTGGGTGGTAAACACACACAGGTAGTTCTAATAAGACCTGAGCTCCATGTCGTTTGAGACTGATGCATCAGTGTTACAGCGGGACTAAAGACATGATCAGAAACAGGTTACAGCTGGATGATCTAGGAAGGTAGGAGATCAGGACGTCTGAGCGGTGAACAGGTGAGCAGACCTTCGGGATGTCCCGCTGTTACGCCAAGGGCACGGCTGCAGACCCGCAGATTCGCTGCTGCAGCAACAAATCTGCGGGGGGTCTGCAGCCGTAGATATTCATCACGTCTTCCTCGTTCTTCACGGGCCGTGACGCACCTGGATGAAAACATCTGCCTCTTTAGCTCCTGATCAGCTGATGATGACAGCTTCAACACACCGCGCTGCTTAACGCACGCATTTCCTTATCAGTAACAGAAACGACGTTTTGATAAAAGAAGACGTAATTAATTAGTTTGCTCGTTACAGAAAGAAATATTTTTTATTAACGCGGTTATTTTAAACGGAGTTATTCCCGTTGTGTCTACAGAATGCAGCGACTGAGACCGTGAGGGTCTCCGCCCACCCGGCCAATCATCATCGTGTTTGTAAGTGCGTTACCAACACCTCTCTCTCCCTGGCTGCAGCTGAAGTGTGGCGGTCGGAAAGCCTCACGCTGCTGCTCAACGTTCGACAAGCACATAGTAACGCACAACGTTCCGTCCCCGGTAACGGTAACGGCGTTGCAACGGCGGAAAAAGTAATTAATTAGATTATTCCGTTACCTATAAAAGAACGCCGTTAGAAACGCCGTTATACTTAAACGGCGTTACTCCCAACACTGGTTACTCCCATATTTTTAGATGTGCACATCGGATGAAGTGCTGTAGATTTTGAACCTGAACTGAAAAGTGAAAATTTTTAATACACTCGTCCAAAAGCTAAACTACTATAAACTACTACTAAACTACTATAATTTGAACTAATTTATTACAATCTAGATAACATGTAAAGTTTCTTTCCTTTTGTGTTTCCACAAACACTTTAAACACCTTATATTTATGAAGTAATGTATTTTAACAATTACAATATTTAAAAAAAAGGTTTCTTTTGTATTTTCTTTTCTTATCATCACATAATGTCTGATGATCCTTTTGGCCATATATTTCTACTGAGACATGAATTAGAATCTGTTTAAACGGACTCACCGATGTTTTAGATGTGGGGTAGAAGTCTGGATCTGTGTCCGTCCCCCTGCTGAGATCTGGGCTGATGTCAAACAGAACCAGTTCGGTTCTGGTTGCTCCTCCGTCCACACTGAACACACCGCTCCACAGCACCTGCTGTCCACCACGGATGATGGAGGAGGCCAGGAGTCGGCTGCCTTCTTCATCACCAGAGATCCTGAGAGTCGCTCCACGCAGAGAGTTGAATGTTTCTCTTTTGCTGCTTTTGGCCTCAAACCAGAGGAGACGAACTTTGTTGTTTTTAGTGCCTGAATCCACGTTGGAGAACAGATAAACTGTTGAGTTGATCTGGAATCCGTCCACAAACTCCACCTTGCCTCGACTTCTGATCACATGCGTTCCTGTTTGTTCGGTGCCCGAAAATATATTTCCATGCTGAGAATCATCTGTGTTAAGAAGTTTAATCGTCTCCGGGTCAGACTTGCCCTGCTCTGCCTTGTCCTGTTGGACCGCAGCAAGAATATAAGTTTCAGACACAGTTGGATTCTTCTTCACGTCCACCAGGAAGCTGACAGACGCGCTGCTGCGCTCCAGAGGTCCCACCTGGATGTTCTCTCCATGCATAAGGTTGGAGATGTTCTTCATGTCCAGAATCTCACAGTAACCACACGTGCTCTCAATCACACCACAGCTGATCAGCGAGTTATTCTTGGTGAACGGTAAGAAAACATTGACTCTAAAAGTTGCATTCCCTCTGGTTTTCTCAGAGACCCGATGAAACTTTTTTGTGTTCTGGTTCAAGTCCTTTAACATCCCTCTCTGGGTCAGACTGTGGGTCAGAACCAGGTCGTGGCTCAGCTGGTAAAGCTTCTCCTCTGTAGCGATGTAAACATCGTCGGTGGCCACGGTGATGTGGAGGATGTCTCCACTAAAAGTGAAACCTCCATCCTCCTGCAGACACCGAGCTGGTTCTCCCCAGAGAGACCAGATCAGACCGAGCAGCAGGATCATCTTCAAGTACCAGCTCTGACTGGATCCAGAGACTCTGGTGGACTGAAGGTCACCGTTTGGTCCTTTGTGCGTAAACGCGCACAAAAAGAAGAAGTGCTGGAACTGGGAGGAACCCTCAAGGAAACCGGAAACTATCACACATTATTGTGAAATAGGTTCTAGGAGGTGGTTATTTTCATCTCCTTTGAGTTTCATTTAAATAAATATCCGCTCGAACACGCGCCTGTTCTGTGCGCTCCCGCAGAAAGCAGCATCATCGCTAGAGGGTAAACAGTAGTTACCCCTCACAGTCTTTATTGATAAAAGACACTTGTGGGAGATAAATTATTAGAAAAGAAAATTCTGACTCCGATTGTCTTGAATGGAACCAAACATAAAACCTTATCAGAGATAAAGAGTTCAACGTACTGAAATTACATTTCTGGAAAATCAAGAAAGTATTTCTTAGAATAAAAATGTAACCCTGTAACTGAAGCAAGAATGACATCTAGTGTAACATCTGGGATGACAAGAGCAGGAGCTACATCTACTGTATTAGATGAACTGCTCTAGTCTACTGTGGTGCAATGGGAGCATAATCAAAAGGCATATTTATGTTTACACTCCAATCAACCCTTATGGGTACAAGATTTGGGTTGCAAACAAAACACTGAGATCCTGTAATGGTCAGCATCTCTGCAGCATGGCCTGTTTTAGACAAAATACTTCAATATCTGAGAGAAGCTTCGAGTAGAGCCCCTCCTCCTCATTGAAATGATTCAGTTCAACACACACTGCACTGACCTGGGAATCCCTGAGGAGACCAAGGAGGAACTGAAGAGAGTTGCTGGGGATAGAGAGGTCTGGGTTTCCCTCCCTGACCTGACCTGACCTGACCTGCTTCCTCCACAACCTACGACTTTAGGGAGCAGAAATTGAAGGATGACAGAAACTGAACCCAAATGTTCACAAATGAGAAAATATGAATCAATAAATGAAAATAAATAAATACAATGAAATAAAACACGGAAGGTGAAGTTTTGAACAATAATATTGAAACTGAATATTAAGATATTCAGCCAGTCAAAGAGCTGAATATTCACTTAGAATTGGGAAATATTTTTTTTTGTTTTGAAAACAAACAGAATTTTTTTTATGTTTTTCAACCTAAACTAGTTTAAACAATGTATTGTTCTCTCATGAAAACTAAGATAACAGGAATGCATCGCCTTAATGAATATTAATACTTCCCCAAATAATTACAGCAACCAGGTGATTAGTAATACCCTAAGTAGTGGTGTACATTTTTGTCAGCAATGTTTTTCTAAGGGAGGCTATGGGACTTTCTTACTGCCCCTTTTCAAATATAGAAAGCATTTCAACATTTTCACAGTTGTAGAAAAGGTTAGGGTTGAGCTTACAACTTGCCATTCAAATGTCTTTTTGGTTAGAGCTGCATGGTGGAGTTGTGGAGGTTGAAGGTTCAAATCCCAACTGTGGCTTTTCTGCTTGGAGTTAGCTTGTAACAAGATGACAGAGGTCTGTAATTTTTATTGCAGCTACACTTCAATTATGAGAGACAAGACTGTAAAAATGACAATCAGAAAATACAATTTTTTGATTTATATAGAATTTATTTGTATAATGATGCAGAAAATAAGTATTTGGTCAGAAACAAAAGTTCACCTCAATACTTTGTAATGTAACCTTGGTGTGCAATGAAAGAGGTCAAACGTTTCCAGTAGGTCTTCAGCAGGTTTGCACACTGTAGCTGGTATTTAGGCTCGTTTCATGCAGATCTCTAGAGATGTGATGTTTTGGTGCTGGGCAACAGAGTCTATAAACTTGCTTCACAGATTCCCCACTGGACTGAAGTCTGGAGACTGGCTAAGCCACAGAACCATCAAATGCTTTGTGGGCATGCCACTCCTTTTTTGCCGGCTAATTAAATAATTTTATTAAAAATATATGTTTATTACAATGATAAAACAGCACAATGCAAGCTCATCGTTTGTGGTACAACAGAATTCATTCTCCAGCAAATATCTTTGAGAACGACAAGCCAAGAAAAAGACCTATACAAACCCAAAATCCAGCAATGTAGAAAATTGTGGCAAGATGCTGTAAAATTTGTAATTTGGGTTAAAATAAACACGATTCTTTATTCCGATTCTAAAACTGGCGACTAAATTATTATCGGAAACAGGCATCACTGATCACAGCTTGTTCTTCTCAGGGATGGGTTTCTTGTCCCTTCTACAGATGATCACCAGCCCTGAAACAAAAGTAATTCTGATTGATGTGTTAAACTTTATCCAATAGAAAATACATCTAATGGAATAAAGGAGAGAGAACATGACACGTAACATAACAAAGAGAAATGAAGCCACGTTAACTTATTAAACCTACCAGCAATAACAACAGGAACCAACAGGAAGCGTCCTATCAGGAAAATCTGGTGCAGTAAAGGCAGAGTCCATAATCTAATTGTCATTTCACCATATTTAATCTGGGAAGAAAAACAGATTTATTAAAAAAAAAGTCAAATTAGAAATGTGATCAGAGATAAAAAATAAAATTCCTTTTCACAAATTCTTATAAATATAGACAACATGCCCTATAGATTCACACGTCGCTTTGGATAAAAGCGTCTGCCAAATAAATAAACATAAAGATGACTTGCATTTCTTGCAGAAATGCTGTTTGAATGCTGGATAGCTGACACTGTAAGCTGAAGCTGCTGAACAGCTGAACTGAAGTAGCCTGGCAAGCCAGACCAAGCCAGACTAAATAAATGTATTATTTAGTCTGGCCACGCTCCATTGACGGCTCTCGGTTGTGGGGCGGGTTCTATTGTTGTCTTTCAAATGTTCTCCGCATTCCACTGGACAATGACTGTGACATACTCTTGTTTCACTCTGTTGCATCATCCCACCCACCAGGCATATAGAGTGCCCTGATTGGCCCACAAAGTGGATAAAGCTCTGTGATTTGTTCACTAAGCAGATAGAGCACTATGATTGGCCCACCATTATGGACCAATCACAGCTCTTTGTGTTTGAAACCCCTCTAGAGAGCTGTGATTGGCTAGCCAGAGTCCTGGTAGGAGCTGCTGAGGTTCCAATGGAGCATGCCTAGACCATTCTTTGCAAAGCAAGAATTTGGTCTAGTTCACTAGGCTATAACTGAAGCTGAAACTAAGCAAAACTGTCAGAAAAAAACACCAACAACCAAGTAAAGCACAAAAAGTAAATGAACAATAGAAAAAAATAATCCTAAACAGCAGAAAAGTGAAATCTGTGAACATTGTATAAAAATCTGGACAGCTAAAATGTCTAAACACCTGCTATTTCAGTAGGACAAGTTTAACAGTTTAATATTTACATTTAGCTGAACTGTGAAATTAGCAGCATACGCAAAATTTGGAAACTGATTGCTGAAGCTGCTGAATAGCTGAAGTGAAGCTGAAACTAAGCTAAACTGACAAAATGAGCTGAATGTATTTCAATATTTTGAAGCAAAAATCACCAACAATTGTAATAAAGTTCAGAATATAGGTGGAGAATGGACAAAAAAATGCTAAACAGCAGAAAACTTAAATCTTTGAACATTTATTAAAAACTCTAAAGTTGAAATGTTTAAACAGCTGGCATTTGAGTGAGAATATTTTAATAGGTACATTTTTACAATAGGCTGAACTGTGAATTCAGAAACATTTACTGACATCTGAAACTGATAGATTAACATATGTTCAGACTTGGTATGGAAGTGATGAATGGTTGGATCAAACTCAATTCAATTCAAGTTTCTTTATATAGCATCAAGGCACTTCACATACAGGTCAGTTCATTAAGCCAATCAGTAAAAAGTTTCCTATGTAAGGAACCCAGCCAATTGCATCAAGTCACTGACTAGTGTCAGTGACTTTACAGCAATCCTCATACTAAGCAAGCATTTAGCGCCAGTGGAGAGGAAAACTCCATTTTAACAGGAAGAAACCTCCAGAGGAAAAGATGTGAAGTCTAGCATGACAAGAATAATCTGGCTGAATTTAGTGATATTTGATTATTTATCAAATGAATCATAACCCATCCAACGGCAGTGTGAAGAATCTACGACACCAGTAGTGATGGTTTCTGGAGTTCAAGCTGGCAAAACGAAGTTGTCTTGACAAGGCTGACAAGTGATTAGACTTCTGGGGCATTCAAAGGTCGTAGGCGCTTTACACCCAGCCCAGTTAGTCAGTGGGATACCCTCTGGTCTCTGCTGGAGGCTGTTTTACATCTGATGAAGTTGTTGCAGGTTAAAACAAATAACGGTTGTTTGGTTCTGTTCTGAAAAAGGTGGTTCTATGCTGCTAAAAGTGTTCTATTGTGAGATCTGGCTTGATCTCAAAGAGGTGTTCATTTAGGATTTTGGCTGGAAGTCCCAAAGAGGGCGTGTCTCTACCTTTTAAGGTCACTCTAACCCCAATCTGTAAAGTGAGAAAATCATCGAATAAAACAGAATATGATTCTTTTATAATGGTTAAAAAGTCCCATCATCTCCAGGAGTCTTGTGACTTGCTGGGCAGTGTAATGACATGGCTTTCTTAACACAACATCATCTAGAACATTTCCAAACAAAGGATCGGCTGCATTAAAAAGGCCAAACTAGTGGATGAAAAACACGCTGCTGGTCAGTAGTGCTCCATAAGCTAACTCAGGTTTGGGAAGATCATTTGAAATAATAATTAGAGACACGATGAAGTAGTTTTTGTGAGACGAAGTTTTCTGTTCAGTGACAATTTGCACTTTTTATTTGTTTGTAATAACTATTTGTGCAAACAAATGCAAATAAGTGTGTCTGAAGAAAACTATATAGTTTGTTAATATTTTTAAATGTATATAAAATTACCTCCAACTGGGTAAATTCAGCCTCCTGAATTTCTTTGATCTCACAGATGATGGAGTCAACCTCACTGCTGCTTTTTCTGCCTTCTATTCTGCAAAAATGCTTCTTCTCCTCCTGAATGCCCCAAACTGACAACTCTGCTAGTGACATGTTCAGTTCATCAGCCTTTTTCTGGAAGGACAACAAAGAGTTTTCTTTTATGAACTGATTTCAC